TGCTCATTTTGATATGTTGTGATAACTTCACAAAGTATCTCCAGTAAATCCAAACATCGAGAAATAGCTTGACATCATTATATATCCCTCATGTATGTATATGTAGGTTTTTCAGAGAAGATCTCTTAATTAAGCAACCTCACAATAGTTCCCCACAAACGACAGGATAGTTTGTTTGGAAAACTGATCTGACTGCAACTTAGAAAACCCCAAATGCTATTAAGAGAGGGTTACTTAAGTATCTTCACCCTAATTCTGCAAGAACTCAATGTGAACTCTCACAGCAGGACCTCGCAATGGACCACTTAGTTGTTTAATGACAGCTAAATGTTCTCCTATAGCAAAGAGCGGGTGGGATGCTATAATCTGAGTTTACTGCTCTTTTCAGAAAGATTTCAAATAAAGGCCATACTGAAAACCCTCAATAATGTTACCTGAAAGCCATGTCTTTTTCTTAATAAGCATAACAAACATCTCAAAGAAACACTTTCACTTGATTTGTAACATAATTTAGGGGATGGATGTTTGGTATGTTTGCTTTTTGTCCAAGCTCACACATGAACTTAAAAAGGAGTACAGAGAAGTCCCTGAAAACTATGTCCCTGGAATCAGGTGCCAAAGAACGAGAACAAAGCAGAAGAAGGGAAGATGGAAGATGGAGTCACGAGGAAGAAATCACAAGTTCTGTGTTGCATTATCCATAAGGATTTCTTTGCTCAGTTTTGTTATTTAAAATTGCCTTCTAAAACACAGCACGGCATCAGAGACAAGGGTCAGGCGAGTTACTGCTGCCTTGGAGAGTGTTAGATACTAAAGACAAGTGACAGCTGAATGTATCACTTGACTGCGCAAGGCAATTCAGAACAGCTCAGAACAAACTAAATGCTGCTTTTTACATTTTGACACTATTTCTGGCCAGTGGGAACAAATCTTACTAAAAAAAAAAAGTCCCACTAGAAAGTCAGTTAAACATCACTCAAAGTATCTACTACCCAGGATGCTCCAAAGTTTTTATTCAGAGCCACAGACTTCATAAGAAGTATTCCAAGGATGTTGCTTTACACAAGGCTACTTCAATGCACTTTGAACTTGCTAATACTGAGGATCATTCTCTAAAGGAAGCCCGCTCAGCATGGTGAATGTTATATTATATTTAACAAAATCTAAACATTAAAGTCTCAAAAACTGGGTTTCAGATAAACACTTAGAGGACTGGATCCTTTCCACTCTGCCATTTCAAATAATCTCCTTTTACCCTTCAGGAGGGGTAGAGGAAGGAGGGAGCACGGAAGGGAGTTAAGATCTATTCTTTTTCTTCTGGTACTGTCGGTATCTTTACAAGACATCTCTTGAAATATATTTCTCAAGCTCAGTCTTAAAAAGACTAGCATGATACCAAAAAGAAAAGTGCCTTAAATGTTTGGGAGGTAGTTCTATGCATGCAAACCAAGTTTTCTCCAGCTTTGCTTCATAAAGAATTCTTGCAATAAATCAGCACCCATGGACTATACAAATACTATAGAGGGTGATATATGAGGAACCTCTACAATGAAGTTATAAATTTTCTTAAATGAAAATATTCATTTCACAATCTCTCATTAAATAAGTGGCAATCTGAAGTTCAATCTTAACTGATAGTCTCAGGCACTGTGGAAAGTCTAAAATACTCAAAATAGTTATTAGAAATAGCACTACACACACAAAAAATTTGGATATATGTGCCTGTGCATCACAGCTGATTTTCTGCTACAAAAATCAACAGACGTGATGTATTTCAGGTTATTTCTCTGACATGAGACTAATTAAATGGCAAAAGAATTGACGACAGATATTCACGTTCTTTTTCTTAGAATTATGACCACGTGATAGCCACTGATTATGGTACTAATCATAAATATTAGTTTGAAATATTTTCTGACTACACATGTAAATAGTATGTTTCTGCTCATAGCTGTCCATAATCAGATGGCAATCTGCCTCTGCATTTCCAAGGGAGACTTACTTTTCTTTCTTCTCCCTCTGCAGGCTGAAGAGCTCTTTGAAAACCCTGATGGCTCTCCTCTTCCTAACACAGCCCCACCGATTAGCTACAACTGGTTTCAAGTCACATGATGTTATTAGTTTTTTGGCTTAGTAAAGGCAACTCCTACCATCAGAAAAATTCTCAGAAATACAGCAGTTTTGAATACCTGAAGAGAACGTAACTCACTGAACAGTTCCCCCCCCCCCCCCCCAATATAAACAGCACATCATAATCTTTCTGTTCACTCAAGCCTGGCTTGAGCTAACCAAGAAAAAAATAAACCACTGATTTTTTAGTTTATATCCTCCCTACAAGGCTTTAAATTTAGTAGTTGTAGTTTAACATAAATGCTTGCATGTCAACATTCAAAATGTTTTGGGCAATGACTCACCGCTTAGAGATTTACAACAGGGCAACTTAAAAATGCATTTGCCTGGTGCATTTCGACAGTAAAAGGACAAGCTCAGATTGAGGTGCAGTCCAGAAAGTAACTAAACAATTCATTAGCACTTTTCTCTGTAACTATTTTTACTTTAAACCCTGATAAAAACACATGAAGAAAGATAAACCTCAAAGCAAGTAATTTCAGAAAGTAACAAAAATCCAACAGAAAAAAAACAAACTAGAGGAAGATTATTTTTTTTTAAATAATCACGATTTCTTAAAAAATTACAGTTATCTAGGAAATTAAATTACTGTTGAGTATCTGTTGACATGGTAACCCTATGCTAACAGAAAAACATTGGAGAAAATCTTTTAGAAACTGAAAAATTAAAAAAAATCCAGATTTGTATGACACAGAAGTATCATCTTTCTTGTGACTTTCCGTATTATAATTAAACTTCTCTGCATTACCTATTAGCTAAAACAATTTTTATCTTTCCCACAATACATTCTGACATCTTACCAAGGTATATTTGAAGTAAAGACAATGCTTACATAATGATCTACTCAATTTAAATTTCCTATGATGCTCAGTGAAATTTAGTTTTGTGTCATCTCTCAAACATAATATCTCATATCAGTTTTTTTTATCATACGTCATTTTACTTCAAGGCTTTATTCAATACTGAAATACAGAGAAACAGTACTTAAAAATTGCATCATCGCAATCATCGATTATTCTCAGTAACTGTATTTTATTGCGCAGATTGGTACAATGTTAATACAAATAAAATTTATAGGCATTTTGTTGTCTCCACTTTTCTCGGAGGAGAAGAATTAAATTAAGACCATTTGAAAAATATTGCTTTTTAAAATTAAAGCCTAGTAAGAGAAATGAGAGAAATTTTTCATTCGCTAAAATGATCTCTTTACCTGGCTGATGCTACTAAATATTAAACGTGTAATGTAAGCTTTATTACTCACCTAGAATTACAGTAATAAATTACGTGAAAATTGCACCGCTATGTGTTTTAGCTTCCCTGACATTTTAAATATATTTTTGTTAATCTAGCAGAAATCATCTGCTAGACTGTAAAGCCACCCTACATAACACGCAACTGTTAAAATGTAAATTGCCAAACTATTTTTAGCTGCTGCTGAAGGGGAAAAAAAAAAAAAAAAAAAAAAGAAGGGGGGGAGAAGGAAGAAGAAGAATATTCCTGGCCTCGGGAATAATGATTTGAGGCATTGTGTTCATTTTGTTTATCAAGCAGCTATTCAGCCTCTAGTGGGGCCCAAGTGCTTATGCAAGCAAAAGCTTTTCAGAGTGCCTGCAGCTGCAGGCCTGGCTCCCAGGTAGGTGCAGGTTCAGAGCACAGCTGCCCCGGGCAGGCTGCGCTATCGCAGCTCCATCTGCACGTACGGGAAAAAAACCCAGGATTTCACATCCCGGCTTCTGCGTGTATATATATATATATATGTATATCTCACCGTGAGCAGAGGGAGGGAGGAGAGAACAGGGGAGCTGCAAGGACCAGAAGACACCACCCGTACTCCAGACTCAATACAAAATACCCAGATCCGACCCGCTTTGCTGCCGCGATATTCCCGTGTGTTCTATTCAGCCTACGCGGCCCCGAGTTATGACCGAGCTCAGCGCACCTGCGCCCACGGGCTGCGTGCTGCCACGGAGAGCCCGACACCATTTCCACAACAAAGGGCTGGACCCCCCGAGCCCCCCGCCCGCGCGGTCTGCGCAGGGGGAATAATTCTGTCCTGCGCTTCCCGGGGGATTTTTCACTTCACGTGGATTTTCTAATGCAGATTCGTTTATAAACAATTTTCTTCCTTTTAAGAATAAAGCATATTTAACACCACAAAACAACCCTATAGCATTAGATTATCACAGCCATTAATGATTTTTCCACCAAAACCCTTCCAACCTTCTTCATCAAAGCCCTTTATTCTCGAAGGATAAATTTTCAAGCAAAGAGGGATCAACAAACTAGTTGCTTGAAAGCTTTCCTGATGCTAGGCTGAAGTTAGGAAAGGCTTAATGAAGGCTTTAAAATCCACCAGGGCTTCACAATGAACATCTGACTCGGTGATTTATGCATATTAATAACCTCAGTCCTACTGAGGCAAGCTGAGCTGTACATGTCCTCCGAATCTTAATGTCTTCAGCTCCACTGGGATTATTACAAATGTAAATTTCTAAGATTCTCAGCTATTAATCTCTGTCTGTCCTCCTGTTCAGCAACATAATGACTAATTAAACATCAAAAGACCTGTACAGGAGATCTTCTTTGACAGCTCCTGGCCCAGCTCTCTTCCCAAGAGAGGAATTCAAATGACAGGGACAAGTGGGTAGGAGCATATGAGCAAGCTACAAATCACTGCTATGAAACCTAAAAATTCTACATCAAATGTGGATTTAGTCCTCCAGACCCACTCCTAATTACCTCACCTAGCTGTTCATGTCCAGCGCATCGCCTTCCTAATGCTGAAGTTAAGTAATTTGTATGGATGTCAGGTAAAGAGAGCGCAATTTGAGTCCGATTAGATTACTATGAGTAAGAAACGTAGTACTTACAGAAGAAGGCAAACCAGGGGGCACCTTTCTTACTTTCTTTGTCTGTAGAGGATCTGTACACAGAAAAACAACATTTCATCAAGTATCTACATTACAGATGAGAAAGAATAAATAGCTACGCTACAGTTTTTTCTTTCCACAATGGATTTCTTATTTTCCAGTTTCATGCATTTTTTATTCTGTGCCAAAGAAATTTGTCTTTCACATCAATACAAGAATGTGCTTAAATATGTAACATACCGAAGTTCTTCTCTACAATAAAGCTTTGCTAAATAATGACTTTCAATCCTTTCCATAAGGAAAACAGTTATTCCTAGGAGGGTACACTGATGCCCTCATACACTTGCTAAGAAACAAAGTAAGACTTTGAGATAGAGAAGGAAGAAAATGGGACTGATTAGCGAGAGAAACGCTTTCCCTTTCTGCACTTCAGAGTAAAGACAGAACTATCAAAAAGGAATTTATGACATGTTAAAGTATGATTTATACTCTAAAAATACTAACATGACATAAATTTCTATAGCTTTTAGACTGTACCAAGGTTGTAAATAAACAGCAAATCCAATGACCTAGTTGCTTTTCTTAAGGCAATATAACTCAAATTTGCATGGAATAGTAAAGTTGGAAGTATGATACCTCCTTCCTTCCACCAATAACTATTGTAACATCACAAAAGCACCCAGCAATTTCACTACCTAAATAAAGAATCTGAACCACTTTAGTCAGCTAATAAAATTAATCTGAACAGTACGCATGCAAATTAGAAGTTAACTGATGTTCTGAAGAGGAGTATCTGGCAAGATTACCAGTTCTACAGTTGACGGATTGAGTCTTCATTTAAAATAAAGAACTCCTATTTTTCTATTTTCATTCAGAACATTTAATATTTATTATGTGATACGACAAGATAAAGGTGAGACAAGGTGAGAATAACTGCTGGATATCTTTACTCTGATCACTCTCCACAGGGCATGTTTGAAAAGAAAATAAAAGGACTTCTGGAAGAGATATTTGCACGGCACTCGAAGTCCCTGGAAAGGAACACCGGTTGGTTTCAATGAACTTTAGTAGCAAAGTTAAAGAGAGGTTTTGTTAAAATCCTGGTCAGACAATTCCATCTTGGGGATAAAATGGCTATAATTTGACTTTCCTTTAAATTCTCAGGCAGCAGTTCTGTAACATTTAACTAGTCCATTAAAATAATATAAATATTTCAGACATACTTTCTCAGGCCATTGAAAACAAGACTCAAGATAAAAGTGCACTTTTCCTGGCATTTCTGGAAAAACATTTCCATAGATTTGTAACCACCACCTGCCCTGTCCCGGGTTACAGTCCCCTAGATGCAGCCACGACAGAAAGAAGAATGTCACCCCTTTACCAGTTTGAACAGGTTTATACTCCTTGAGTTCCTCTTTTAAAGGACTCTCCCTCAATGACTGCTTCACACCATGACCTGCCTGTCTGCGCCAGTATCCCTCTCTCCAGCACCCAAAGTCACGCTCTAACAGCAGGGTACTGTAATAGTAGCTTCTCACTAAAACAGATTCAACGGGGGCTAAAAGTTGCTATTGTTATTATCATCATCATCGTTATTTATTTTTTAACCCTTTTTTTAATTGAAGTTCAAACACCCTTCCAAGCGGCAAACAATTTCAACTGAACTCTCCTCAGACTATTCTTCTTCTGAAATGGATCTGAAGAACTTCTGCGCTTATATTCTCATATTCGGAGGAACATAAATACTTACAAAAATATTTGTAAAGACAGACAACCCCAGATTAAACAGCAGTTGTCTTGACAACAGGTTAAAAAGTTACACAAAACCAGTATTTTAAATCTCATACATGTATATATACACACACATATATATAGGTAAAGTTCCAAAGTCGTATTTTCATAAATAAAGACTTAAAAAACAATTTCAAGCATGTTCAGGACTATTTTCATGCCCAAGGAGTTTGCAGTTCTAGTCAATGCTACAGTTACTTCAAGAAAGAATTTGCATTTGATGAAATCTTATTTTGGCTAAAGTATGGTTTAAGTTACATGGTTCCAACAAACAAGATTTTATTACGGAATAGAAGTGCTATACAGAATGAGGGGCATTTAAAAAAATAAGCATATAACTAGAGTAGTCCTAGTGACATAACATGTTAACATTGAAATATGGTAGCTTTAAACTAGGATATTAGGTTACAGTCTCTCTTTTTGTACCAAAACTGATTTTTTAAAGCTTGCACACCCAATTATTCGGGATAGTCTTCCAGCAGAAACGATAGAACAGCTGGCTTATTCTTGATTCCCTAATTCAATAGAAAGTCTTTACAGAGATGAAATATTACCACCACTGACTACAACTGAGTAGGAAAATTCCATTTATCTCTAAGTATCTCCAGAATAAAATATTGTCATAGGATTATAACAATTTTAAGCAAGTTCCTGCCTGCATATTTTGCAAAATAGTTTGATTTTAGGATAAACTACTAGTATCCAATTGCTAAGAACTTTAAAGGCATGTTGAACCAATTACAATGAACTATATATTGCCCCAAATAAAGTTACTTTTAGCATATAAAAGGATAATTGTTTCCCCTTTGTGTCTTTCCCCTTCTAAATAATGGTAATGACCTCAGGGTCAGGCATTTCCAGGAGTTAATGATGGCATGGGTTAAGGGCACTCAGCTGGTCATCCGTTCCTATCCATCTGTCATTATTGCTTTTGCAATTAAGGGGTTTATTGGAGTTTCTTGTTTGTTTTATAAGCAATACTGACCAGTGTTGAATCCAAACTAGCGTTTCAAAGAAAATGTTAATAATTACAGTTTCTCTCTTATATAGCAGTTTGCTGTAATTTGAGTTGCTCAGTACAGACCAATCTCCGCTATATAAAATGAACTGTCAAAATAAAGTCTGCAGAAACGCATCATGAACAAAAGCGTAAAACTGTCTATATTACTCACCAAGAGCTGGTGAGTCATGAAGTGGTCTTCGGCGCTGATTTGTGCCAGAAAACGGGTAGTAGGGCGTTCCAGGTTTTCCCGAGGATGACAGCTGACCTGGACTTCCAAGCCCCATATCTGACCGAAGCAGACTAGACTGCAAAATATTCAGAGAAAAGTAAAATTAAGCTCTATAGTAAGCCAGCTGTTAATACATCAGGCTAACAAACTATTAACCACACATACTGCTCTTGGCATTTAGTGGAATTTACTGGGCTTTCAGTGAAGAAGGTCTTAGAGTTCAGAAAAATGTTGACTTCTTAAAATTAGTATTCAGAGAATATACTATAGCATAATCCAGAAAGGCAGAGCAAGTTTGGCTGTGAGCCTCCAAAAAACATAACCATTTCAGTTTAAAACAAACAAAAAAAAATTCTAAAGAAAAATCATAATACTTTGGTTAGTTTGCAGTGTAACACCTTTTCTATTACACAATATAAACATAATTGATAAAAACTGCTAAGAGTTTATAGTGTGACATTAGGTTTTAGCACATACTTAAAAATCCACACTTATATTACATTCATAAAAACATGGAATAATTGCCCCCCAAAATCAAACGCAGACACAAGAGATAACAGATTAGATTAATGCACAAAACATAAAAAATTATGACATTTTGAAACCTTCAAACCAACAACATAGTTGAACCCTACCCTTTTTGTTCCCTTTTCATGCAGTAAAAACAAAAACATTCTAAACACTTAAGTGCATTATATATTGTTTGGCCTCACGTTACTTGGATTTCTTCTGTGAAACTGAAATGAACGTTGGTGATTTACAAGAACATCGTTTTTCCATGGTTCATACTATGCTGAGCATTGTTTTAGTCCGAAAATCCCCAGACGTGGAGTGAAACCCACAGAACTGTTTGTACAGAAAACGTAATGCTAGCAGGCAGTAAAAACGCATTCACCGCCGCTCCGCTCCCGGCTCTTGCACGCAGCAGCGTCCACTCCGCGTTACACATCACTAAAGACACTTTGCTTTCAATATCTGCCAAATCAGACAGTGTTTTAAGGTCACCATGGAACCAGTGGTTTCCAGAAACAAGGGATGTGATTTCTTCATCCTCGGTCATTACCTAGTGCATTACCTACCCTTACAAAGGTGTAAAGCACGCTGTCGGCTGGCAGGACAACAGTTAGGTTTTGCCTACATCCACACTGCGCCAACATTTTAATTGTCAGATAAGGTATTCATAAACAAATGTATTTTTTGGATCATATCATTCAAGCTGGTTCTTTTGGTGTGATGACTCGTGAAAGATGAGGCTAACTCACATGGCTCTCGCTAAGGTAACTAAATCCCTTCTAACTTGCAATGCACTGGGATTAGCAGAAAATCCAGAGTTCATACAAAATTACAGACTGTATCTAAAATAAGCAATGACCTCGAGTGCATTTCTCCAGATAAATGGTTTTGCATCATATCGCTACTAACAATTCTAGCTTTTATTTGTCTGATGACTAATTTGAGCATGAAAATCTTGTATTTTAATTGAAAAGAGTGGGATGTGACAGAGTTGCCCTGTTACAAACTAAAGGAGGGCCCAGAAGCGTTAACAATTTCTTACAAATCTATCACACAGTTTGAAGAACAAAGTTAATAATGATTAAAGATGTTGAGGCATACAAATAAAAAGTTCCCCCATGACTCAGTTTCTTCATTCTTATTCTTACAATAAAATAGTCTTTAAATGAGAATTGTTAACATAAATGTCATATTATGAGTGAATTGATCTTTAAACAAAGTATACGGAAAATACATGAGGGGAAAAAATTCTGCTTATAGACCGCTTCAAGATTTGCTAATTTTGCCTTTGACAAACAGTTCAGAGTTTGTTGCTTTGCAGAAAACATTATTATTATCAGAATATCTGGCTTACATAGTGTAAGCCTGAATTTAGCAAAGATGCTATTCTAGACATTTATTAGAGTTTTAGTGGTGAATGCTGTGCAGGAAACCTCGGCAACGTTTTGTGAAAAGCAGTTCCTCCAAACCAGCTCCATCCAAAGTAAGCAACGAAACCAGTTCCGCGCTCAGCCTGAGACTTGACCTTCAGCCCAAGAATACGTGGGACTGAAAGAAAACTTCAAAACTTCTTTGAGTAGCCCGTGGGGCAGGGGAGGAAGCATTGTGATAGTCATCATTTCAAGCAGCCAAAGCAAGGTCCCACTCACAGAGTCTCAGGACGGCTGAGGCTGGCAGGGAACCTCTGGAGGCCGTCTGCTCTAGCCCCTGCTCACTCAGAGCAGCTGTCAAACACAGTTAGGAACCACGTCCCGTTCACCTTAAAGACAACCCTCCCTGCTCCCCACAGCATCTCCTTTTCATCATTGGCAGTGATTGTGGAAATGCACCGGGATCCACCTGGACTCCTCCAAACCAAGGGGTGGGAGGGTTCTTAGTCCCTCTGTTCCTCTAGTCACTACGGGGAAGGGGCAGCAGATGACAAAAAAACCCAACCAAACCACTCAGTAAAAACTCTTAAATTGACTTCTACCGAGCCATTCAAAAGGCATGTGTCTATAACTTTTCCAGACTTAACCTCCAACCTTTACCTCATGACATTTGCCACCCTTACTTTTGTTCTAAGCATTCCAGTTCTTGACATTTTCATCGGACCCTGAATTTCAAAGCAGCAGGGCTACTGCAACATAAAGGAAGTGTATAAGTAATGTAATACATACCCAGTAAATCTCAAGCTACGCAACATACTCTAAACAAGTTTCCTGATCTATATTGTGTTTGGGTAAGAATTTTTTATTAATTAAAAAAAAGGAGGCAAAAAAACCCCCAAACACACAACCCTCTTCTACCATTCCCACAATCAAATGAAGCATCTGTTTAAAATTTTATAATTGTTCCTCAGTCTTAAAAAAAATAATAATAAAAAAAAAAGATGTCATTAGTTCAGCTTATTGATTTTTCTGCCTGTCTGAACCAATTGAGAAGCAATATTGATTAGGACTGATCCTTTCCTAAGGGCATCTGATAAAGAAAGGAATACAAAATACCACTGAGAATAGGAAAAAGGCTTTATGTTATCAGCCTCAAGCTTCACCTGACTAAGTGCCCAAGGTCCCTGCACAGAGGCAGATCGCTTACATACGTAGTTTGCAGCATTCTCCACAGAGAATGTTCACGCTCGCTCCGAACCTCATCTGCCAAGCACAGATCCAATTACTAAAGAATAATCAATGACTGGTTACTCTCCTGAACGCTGCCGAGTCCTGTCTGCGTTACTGTTATAAATAAACAGGCATCACCCTTAAAAATTTGCCTCTTTGGATTTTATAAGACATATTTCCAGCTTCATGATAAACGAGAATTTATTTAAAGCAATATTTTCTGTAAGGAATGTGTGTTCAATAAGCAACCTAAAAAAAAAGAAAGAAAACAAAATTAAAAAGGCTTTTATTGCAATCAACTAAGAGCACAGCAAGCCTGATTCCAAAGAGAACAGAGAAAAAGAGGTAAACATGACTGCTTTACTTTTCAAATGTATCCCCTTCAGCAAAACCAAGCAACAGTTTTGACAGCCTCCGGGGAAATGGCACGGCCTGACCCCAAAACTAAAGGCTTTTACAAGGGCTGCTATCTAGACAAATGCTTTAAAAGAGGCCTTTTCCTAAAAAGTGTTCTCATAAAAACGAAATGCAGGGGAGTCATCTATTCAAACATCGCAAGGCTGAGGTGGGGGGGAAAGAATCGTATCTACAATGGGGGGGTGTATTTATGCACCTTTGTCACAGAAAACAAATAAGTGCATTGCAGCCGCACTCGCATGCATGCAAAGTTAGCTTCCATTCAAACCAGCAAGCTAATCAACCATATGCTTGTATCAAAGTGGTAGGTCTGAGATAAAAAAAAGCTCCTTACTCAACATATTTTAAAATGGTTTTTAAACGGTTTCTTTCAAAGAATCTGAGCATAAAAGTAAGAAAGAGTTTGACTGCTTTGGAAGTTTTCTTTCTCACAGCCCAACTCTATGAATCCTTAGAATCCCAGAGATATAATTTGATGCCAAAATACTGCTCTGCCTTCAATGAACTTCTAGGAGACTGGCCAGCAGAACTCTAATATGTTGGTAAACACATCTTTGATTTTCTTACTTTGATATAAAAAAAGAAACATGGACAAGTAAAGGCCTACAGATGTCCTTCTGTAATATTCCTCGCAGCTCTCCCGCATTTAGGCTACATATACATAGTGAAGCCAAGAAACCCTGCAAAATTAAACATTTTTAACAAACACACTTCATACACTACACTATCGTATACAAGGTTCTACTTTTCAAAAATGTATTTGTTATAGGCAGTTAGCCTTGTGCTTCTTGGTCTAAATCTCATTCACTTTTTAAATGCAAATGTACTAGCAAACACTCGAAGAACTCAGATTTTGCTAGCGTAGCCATAGCCAAACTATGCAATAGTTTCATCCAAATACAAGTGTGTGCCTTTACATTATTCATTATTTTCTATCAAAAGAATAATATGGTTGAGAATAAAAGCATTAGCCCATTATATGCAACTGATTATGACAGGGCCATTGTGCGGGCATAATAAGGCAGGCTGCTTTGGCAGTGAAATGAGAGCTGCAACCTACCAACTGCAAACTTAGATCTTGAAACCAGCCCCCCCCAAACAAGTCAGGCAGGCTGCTTTGGCAGTGAAATGAGAGCTGCAACCTACCAACTGCAAACTTAGATCTTGAAACCAGCCCCCCCCCAATAAACTAGTCAAGTAGATTTTATTCTTCCTAGTTCTTTTGCATTAGCTTCCTTTTCAAAAAGTTTATGCTTTTAGTCCCAGTAGTCACGCTGTCCCCTATTTAAGGCGGGAAAACTGTCAAAAGTTTGGGTTTTTTGTTGTGTTTTGGGTTGGTTTTTCTAAGGTACTTAAGTGTTTACTCCAAAATTGGGAGCTTAGATATGTTATTTTGTAAGACTAAAGTAATGCAAGAGCACTCATCTCAATCAAATCCTTCCATTATCCCACCACATAGTCATAGACAAACTCATCTGGCCTTTCTCTGTTTCTCAGAATTACGTAGAGCAGATGGTAAGTGCATTCCTTGCCTTACTACAAACTT